TTCATGTTATAAGAGATAAAATTATCTCATATAATATATAAAAGTATCTGAGGTCTATGTGAAGAAAATAGAGAAAAAAATGGGCCCTACACTTTTATGTGTGTATTGCAAATAAAATTATTTCCTATAATATAAAAAATATTAATCTTAAAATTTAATATATAAAAGAATTAGGAAATTTTTTTTGTCCTTTTAAATGACACAATTTGTGTCATTTCACTCTCACAAAGAAGTGGGACCTATATTTTTTGTCCACTTTCTCTCCTCCATGATCTATCTCTTTCTCTCACCTAAAATGACACAACTTTACATCCTTTAAAATGACACACACTTCTCCCAAAGAATTATGCTGAAAAGTTCATTATCTCACTCAAAAGAAACAACTGTATTTCAAAATATATATATAAATATTTATGAATATTGATATACGATATAAGATCTTTTGACTCCGGTGTCAAATTCAAAAGTTTGACACTAAATCTTAATCGTTAATTTTCATCAATCTAACTATTATAGTTTATTACATATATATTATATATAGGAGGAATCAATAGCAGACCTAGAATTTTTTTTAATGTCTGCACACTTAGAATAAAAGAATAAAGGAAATTTTTTTTAAAGAAAATTCTAAATATATTAAAATACAAAAGAATATAAACAAAAAAAGAAAAGAAAACTTCAACTTAATATAAAAAAAGTAATCAAGAGTCAACTAAACTGTTACAATAGAATATTTTGGGTCCTTAACAAAAATTACGGGCCTCAATTTAATCTATTAGGAAAAAAGTCTATTCGTGATCCCTCAGAATTTAAAAATGGACCCTGATAATCAAAATCATGGACCTCTGAAATTTAAAAAAACCCACATTAATCCCTCAAAAGGACTAACATGCAGTGTTGTAAAAACGTAGTGTCGAAACGTGAAAACGGTCCGTATCTATGTTTTTATGACCAAAATCGAGTCGAAACGAGTTTTGAGTCGAAACGGTTCAAACGTAATATGAATTTATATATATATATATATATATATATATATATATATATATATATATATATATATATATATATAACACGTAATAATAAAAACAATTATATATATTTTTAGTCATTAATTAGCTTAAATTTAATAACTTATATAATTAATACATTAAAATTATTATATATAAATTAAAACAAAGATTAAAATTGACATTCTTATAAAATAAACATGTTTTTGGGTTTTGGTATTATATATGTTGGATATATATTTTATTTTTAATACGTTAGTAAACTCTTACGTTTCGTTTTCGTTTTGCGATTTTACGTTTTTGCTCACCCCTACTGTTTTTTCATAGACTCTACGTTTTAACAACATTGCTAACATTGGTCTATTTTGAAATTTAAAGAGATCACGAGTCGACATTTTTTTAAGAGATTAAATTGGATCCTATAATTTTTGTTGATGACCCAAAATATATTTTATTCTTTTTTTTCCCAAAAAATTTGTGTGTGCACTTGCACACACACAGGTCCACCACTGGGAGGAATGATCTTTTGATACCGGTGTCAAACTAAAAAGATTAACATCAAATCCTAACCATTGATTTTGTAAATCTAACGATTATAATTTATTGGATCACAATTAATTAATTATTAATTCTGAGTAATTTATAACTGATAGAATGACAGAAATTAACGGTTAAGATTTGGTATCAAATTGTTTTATTTAACACCAGTGTCAAAAGATCTTATCATATATATATATATATGTATATATATATATATATATGTATATATATATATAGATTAAACATTTCTACATCCACTTTAGATAAGGTTGTCTACAACTATCCCTTTTTAACTAAGTCTGACCAGTAAGACATAAAAATTACATTTTCTCTCTTCGCCACGTCAGCCAACAATGTCTGAGGAGAGAGAAAAAAAAAAGCTTTATTGTTATAACTATGTCTTACTAATCAGACTTAGTTAAAGAAGAAATAGCTGTAGATAATGTTATCTAAGGTGACTGTAGAAATACTTATATATATATATATATATATATATATATATATATATATATATAAGGAGTGCGAAAGAAGAAAGGGGAAAAAAGAAATAATAGAAGCAGAAAAGGGAAAATAGGATGCCGACAGACTGCTTACATGTATGTTAATGCATGAAAAAGTAATTAAATTGCAGAAAGTAAAGGCATAAAATTAAATTTAAGGTGAACCCTAGGATAATTCCACTAGCGTGAAGGGAGGAGAAAATAAATATTGATTTTACATATGCACATATGAAAACAAGTTTTGTTTAAAACATAAAGATTGCAGTTACAAATTGGAAGAAAGACAAGAAAGAAGAGAAAGAAAAACTCAGAAGTACCTCACAGTCTCTCTCTAAACTATATCTCTAAGAAATGGGAAAATGGAAAGATCTAGGCATATATGGCAGATGTTCGATAGGAAATATATGTGTGTGTGAAAAATGTTTCTACTTTTAGTGAAATAAATGAGTTCCAAAAATTTATTTGCAATAAAAGCAGAAACATTTTTTCCACACACACATATATATAAATATTTCTCAAGTCACTTGAGGAAACCTTTTCTCTAGCCACCCCAAAACTTCGTCGTTTTGAATGTTAGGAGAATTAATGAAGAGTGTTTTGATATTTTTATTTGTTTATTTATTATATGAATTTTACAAAACACCTTTCATTAATTTTCCTAAGGGATAGATTATTCTACCTACCTTTTATTTGCCTATCACTCTCCAATACCGTTAGATCGTAATCTTAATTAACATTTATCTTTCTCTTTCCTCTTTAGATTTTGATTTAACAGTATTGGAAAATAGTAGGTAGAATAAATGGTAGGTAGAATAACCTATCCCAAACTCATATATATATTTGGTATACCGACCCTAATTACCTTTTTGAGGCGAGTAAGCCTCCCAAGTATCCCTACAAGATGTATTTGGTGGAAATCAAACCCAAATTCTCTTCCCACCTACCCAGCTCCTTACATTCGTTGGGTTGTTATTTATATCTTCATATCGAAAATGGATCATCTCATATGAAAAAAAATGACATGGTCATGTGGGAAGATCATTACCATACAAATATGAATCAACAGTTATGATTTTGTAACTACTTATTTCAATATTTTTTTCTGTCTTCCTTTATTATTATTAATCCACCTTTGTATCATTATGATTTTCCATATGACCATGTCATATTTTTTTTCACATGTGAGGATTCATATTCCTTCACATCTAATTAATGTAGGCATATATTGCATTATATTTATACATTTTATCTGATTATAATTGTTTTTAGGAATAAATTATATTTACAAACTTTTTGTTTATAAACTCTTACAAACTATATAATGTACTATGGATATTACATATTCAAGTAATATGTATTACCCATAAATACATAATGTAGTTTGTAAAAATAATTCTACTCTTGCTTTTATCCTATATTTTGCATTTATATATGGCTTTAATAATTTTACAGTGAATGTAGATAAGTTATTTACATTCGCTCCCAAAACGACGTCGTTTTGGGTTGAAAAATTAAAAAATTATAATAAAAAACTATTATAACCCTGGAATAAATTATAATTACAAAAATACCTTAATTTCCGCCTCAAAACGACGTCGTTTTGAGCTCAATGTAGATAAGTTATCTACATTGCCGGTAGAAAAAGCGAACTCTTTATATATATAGAGTAAACACCCTTTTTGGTCCCTAACAAAAAACACGGTCCCCACTTTAGTCCCTTACAAAAATAAATTAGTCAGTTAGTCCCTAACAAATTCAAAGTGGATCCATTTTAGTCATTTTGAGGGACTAATATGGGTCTTTTTTGAATTTTGGAGGGACCACGATTTCAACTAAATGAACTTTGAATTTGTTAGGGACTAACTGACTAATTTATTTTTGTAAGGGACTAAAGTGGAGACCGTATTTTTTGTTAGAGATCATAAATAGTATTTACATATATATATATATATATATATATATATATATATATATATTTTGGTACAAAACATTTATATATTTTGTTTTGGGAAAAACACTTCTGCTGCTGTTATGCAGAAGGGTTCCCCTCTTATCATACGAGAGACTCATCAACATTTTCTATTTATTTATTGGAAAAAAGGTGTATCATTTTAAATGACACACCTTATATCCTTTCATTCTCACAAAGAGGTGAGATCTGCATATTTAAAACTTATCCCATTCATTCTCTCTCTTTTATTATTTACTTCTTTCTCTCACTTAAAATAATATAAATTTATATCTTTTAAAATGATACATACTTTTTCCTTATTTATTTATTCTTTTAAAAATATGGTGGGCCTCACCATCTTTTTGGGTCGGCGGGAGAAGAAAAAGCCGTGCAGTATTGGCAGATATACAAACCCCTTTTGATTTCGTCACTTTATGTAAAATGTAAATGCAAAAAACGCGATGATTTTATTTTCATGTAGCCTCGGGAACATTTAAGTTGATTGCGTAATGATCATTAGATAATTAATACATTTTTTGGTGGTTAAGTAAAACATATTTTATCACTAATTGATTTGTGTCAATTCTATAATCAACAATAATTATTTTTTTATATTTTTATTTTATCTCAATTAATATTTTATCTTAATTAATATTTAGATATTTTATATTAATTTTTAATAAGAATTTGATTTTCATTTTCTATTCCTGCCAAATCCCTCCAGTCATATCATGGGTCAAAGCCAAAGTCTTTTTTTAGTAAATAAAGGCAAAGTCTTTTATTATTTTATTATTATTTTCTTTGGAATAGCCAAAGTCTTTTAACATGTAATAAAATATAATTAGAGGCTAATCTAAAAAAAACTACATATTAATTAAACAAATTAAGTTAATATATTTTATTCTTATAAAAAGTTAAAAACATTTTCTTTTTTTAATAAAAGTACAGTAACAAACAGAATGAATGAGGAAAAAAAAAACATTTCTTGGTTGAACTTTTCATCCACAATTAAACTACCAATAACTCAGTATCACATGTGTGACCGTTTTACTTCTCTTCCTCTGTCTCTGAATCTCATTACATTGGGTGGTGAACATCAAAGGGTTTCTCAATTTCCATAAAAAACGAAGAAAAATGGGAAGAATCTTTGCAGTGGAGTTAGAGGGTAGGTCTTATTGTTGCAAGTCCTGCAAAACCCACCTGGCCCTTTTTGATGCTCTCATCTCTCGGGTAAATTTTGTTATAAGCACTGTTTTATCTAATATTGTCGTTTCAGCAACTGCTTTTGAACTAGCCATGGATGAAGCATAATAAACAGGCTTAGAACATCAATTTTTTCTGATTTCAAAGAACAGTATATAATTTTATCTCCTTTTTCTTATGTTGGTATATGAAAATTTACTATCTTTTTAATATGGGGTCTGTGAAATTTGATAATTATGTGCTAGAAGCATGGCCCTGATTGGTAAAAATCAAGCTTTGATAAATTGAGCCGTTTATTTCCTAGGGGTCTTTTATATATGCTAAGTGGGGTTTAAAGTCCTTACAATTACAGGAGTAATGCTAGAGAAAATTGTTTGTCCCTTGTAGTCAGATTGGTACACCCTTAAAAAAATTGATGAAAATTTCAGCTTTTAGTTTTTCATATGAAACTCATCCCTGAATTTTTTAACCCCTTTCTTTAAGGGTGTCGAAACTGACCCTTAAGTCCTTAACCTTAGAACCCCAAAAGGTTGTACCTTGACTACTGTATCCTTGAACATTTCTAGTTTGCATTCCTTCTAGTAAAATCTGGATGACCAGTTTATTAATTTCTAAACCTAGTGATAACATATACATTGCACTAAATCCATACCAAAGTATCCGGTTGAGTAAGGTTGTTGTTGATATGTTGGTGAGTGGATTGGACTGCTTCTACTATATAAGTTAGAGAACTGATGCATTTTGAAGCCCTTATCAATGGCAACAAGTGTGTCTTGAGTATGATTCGGTAGTACTGAGATTTTTTCTGTCATAAAGACAGCTTCATAAGGGGCTTGTGATTACTTCTCTTATTCTGCTGTCATAGTGTACTCTTTGCAGAGATATCTTCAGTGGCTTTATCATATTTACAGCTCTTAGGTTATCTTTTACAAATTCCCTCTGCTGCTTTTTTTTTTCTCATTAGCATTCCCGTTGCAGCTTCTACCTCTATTGAGAAAACAACAAACTTATTATGGCTATTCTGGTAAGAAAAGGGCTCATTAATAATTATATCTGTTAGAATATATTAGATATGATTAGATATGATTAGTCTGATTAGATATGATTAGATATGATTAAAGTCTGTAATTATTCAATTATTCTGATTGTATTAGGTCTGGGCCTTTCATATAAGCCCATTAGAGTCTCTATATATTGTAACTCTCTGAATTAGATCAATACACAACATATTATTTTATATTTAAGTTGGTATCAGAGCTCTTTCGTTCTGGGGACCCTCGCTTCCGCTTAGAAACCTTGTTTTTGCTTTAGAACCTAAGCCCACTGCTTAGGAGTCCTCTTTCTTGCCGTGCGTCCTTCCGGCAAGCCATCTAGGGCTGTAAACAGCCTCTGAGTAATTTTTCCGAACGCGTCAGCACCTCCGACAGTCACTGGAACCACCGTCCGCCACCGTAAGCCACTGTTCAGGCCGCCAGAGCACTTTTCCGGCGAGTTTTCACCGGAGTTTCCACGCGATCAACACCCTCTTCTCCCGGCGACCAGCTCTGTGGCAGTCCGGCCACCATCGGAGCTCCCACGCGCTCTCACGCGCCTCCCAGCTCCTCTGCGCGTGGGCTTCACGCGCCACCTTCTGCCGGCGCGTGAGCCCTTTTCCGGCGGCTTTTTCCGACCGGTCTTGGACAAAGAAGCTCGCCTTCTCCTGCTCTTTCTGGATCTGTGATTGTTTTGGTGTGGGTCTGACTTTTTGCGCGCACCCATTCTTGATCGGTGATCAGGTTCGTTCCTATTTACTCGGTTTATATCTTTCTGATTTTTTATTATGGCAACAGATGGTTCTGTTCATTCGGAGGTCAATTCTCCATCTCCTTCTGTCAAAAATTCTCCCAATATCATCTCTACCAATGTTGGGTCCATTACCTCTTCAAAATTGAAGGGTTCCGTTAATTACAAGAACTGGACCACCTCTGTTCGAGTTTGGTTCTTTGGACAAGGACATGGGAGCCACCTCACGACTAAGTCTACTGATGTCCCTAAGGAGGAAAAGTCTGATTGGGAAAAGATCGACAACCAGCTTCTGAGCATCCTCTGGCAATCTATTGATCCAGTTGTCTTGGACATCTTCTATTCGTTTCAAACTTGTACTGAAGTGTGGCAGGAAGCAAAAAACCTCTACACTAATGATGTTCAGCAGCTCTATTTCTTCATCTCTCAGTTTATGGAACTGAGCAAATCATCCGACATTCAGATGGAGACATATGTTGGCAAGAGTCGATCTTTGATGCAGGCATATTTGGATATGTTGCCTTACCCTACTGATGCTACTACATATAGGAAACAGGTGGAACGCCTCTTTATGGTTGCCACACTGTCTGGCCTCCCCGAAGAATATGATAATGTCCGGGATACTATCTTGACTAGTGGGGAGCCTGATCTTTCAATGACGTATCAGCGTCTTCTGAATCTGAATAAGAAATCTACTCCTGCATCATCTTCTGCTGTTGATTCTACTACCCGTACTGACTTTCGCGGTAACATTGGAGGTGGACGTGGTCGTGGTAGAGGCCCGGGAGGACGTGGTCCAGGAGCCCCAGGAGGACGTGGTCCAGGAGCCCCAGGAGGACGTGGCCCAGGAGGCCCAGTCGGACGTGGTCAGCGACCTCGTTGTAATTACTGTCAGCAACTTGGTCATTATGAGGAACGTTGCTACACAAAGTACCCTCACGTGCGACCTTCTTATGCTGCTAATGTAGCTCAATCGGATTCTGCTTCAAATGTTACAGTCTTTCTCGCCTCTGAAGACTATCCAGCATTCCAGACTCTTCTCAGAAAGGTCTCTCCTCAGTCTTAGGCCTCTGCTTCAGAAATTGGTAATCCCGTTGCTTGTGTTTCTCATTCTGCATCACTTGGCCCTTGGATATTTGACTCAGGTGCTACTGATCACCTCTGTGGTAATAAGGAACTCTTTTCATCCCTTACATATTCTGATAACTTACCCTCTTTTACCCTTGCTGATGGCACTAAGGCTCCTGTTCATGGAATTGGACAAATCTGTCCAACCTCCTCATTGACCTTAACATCTGTCTATTACATTCTTAACATCCCTTACAATTTAATATCTGTTAGTAAATTGATCAACTCTCTTCACTGTATTGTAACTTTCTCAAATCATTCTGTTTCTGTGCAGGACTCGGGTACGGGGAAGATGATTGGAGTGGGCCGTGAGTCACGGGGTCTGTTCTACGTTGTGCTGAGTCCTTCCGTTGCTTGTTCTCTCACAGAATCTCCACAACTCATCCACAGTCGCATCGGGCTTCCTAGTCTTTCCAAGTTACAGAAGATGGTTCCTCTTTTGTCCGGTCTTCAGACTTTAGATTGTCAGTCATGTCAGCAAGGAAAGCACATACGCTCCTCCTTCGCTAATCGAGTCAATAAACGAGTTGATGCTTCTTTTTCAATTATTCATTCAGATATTTGGGGTCCTAGTCGTAGTGTGTCTGTTTTAGGTTTTCGGTATTTTGTTACCTTTATTGATGATTTTTCTCGTTGTACTTGGATCTATTTAATGAAAAACCGTTCTGAGTTGTTTTCTATTTATCAATTTTTTTTTTGCTGAAATTCATACTCAATTTGGTGCCTCTATTCGTATTTTACGTAGTGATAATGCTAAGGAATATGTTTCTGTGGACTTTTCTAATTTCTTAGCCAAACAGGGTACTTTACACCAAACTACTTGTCCTCACACTCTACAACAAAATGGAGTAGCTGAACGTAAGAATAGACACCTCATTGAGACTGCACAGACTCTTCTTATTCACATGCATGTTCCTCTTCACTTCTGGGCCGATGCAGTCCTTGCCTTTTCTTTTCTCATCAACCGTATGCCTTCATCTGTGCTTGATAATGACATTCCTTATCACTTATTGCTTCCAGATGTTCCTCTCTATCCTCTATCCCCACATGTCTTTGGTTGTACCTGTTTTGTTCATGATCTCACCCCTGGTAAGAACAAGTTAACATCCAAAGCTTTTGAATGTATTTTTCTTAATTATTCTCGTCTTCAAAAGGGTTATCGTTGTTATTCTCCAGATCTTAAGCGTTACTTAGTTTCCGCTGATGTCACTTTTCTTGATCAACAACCCTTTCATTCTATCTCATCTCAGTTGTCACAGGTTGATCATGTTCTTCCCGACCCTTTTCTTGACTTGTCTTTGCCAGCTGCAGGTACTTCTATTCCAGATAAGCAACCTATTGCTTCAATACCTACTGACCGTCCACTTCTCACTTATCAGATTCGTAAAACTGTGCCTCCTGTCGACTCGACTCCTGCTGACTCATTGCCCCCTGCAGTTGATTCTTCCCCTCCGGATCCTTCACCAGAGGCTCTTCCTATTGCTCAAAGAAAAGGTACACGTACTACTCGTAACCCTTATCCTCTTTATATCTTTTTGTGCTATGACCGTCTTTCTTCACCTCATTTCACCTTTGTTTCTAGTCTTTCTTCTATTTCTATTCCTAAAACCACAAATGAAGCACTTTCCCATCCAGGGTGGCGCCAAGCGATGCTTGATGAGATGACTGCACTTCATTCCAATGGCACTTGGGACCTTATTTCTGCTCCTCCAGAGAAGTCTATAGTTGGTTGTCACTGGGTGTTTACTGTAAAAGTTGGACCTGATGGTCATGTTGATCGACTCAAGGCACGCCTAGTTGCCAAGGGCTTTACTCAAATCTTTGGCCTTGATTATGGCGATACATTCTCTCCGGTCGCTGAGATGGCGTCAGTCCGCCTATTTCTTGCCCTTGCTGCTGTTCGTCACTGGCCACTCCTTCAACTTGACATCAAAAATGCCTTTCTTCATGGTGATTTGCAAGAGGAAGTTTACATGGAGCAACCACCTGGTTTTGTTGCTCAGGGGGAGTCTGGAAAAGTGTGTCGTCTTCGAAAATCCTTATATGGTCTCAAGCAATCTCCTCGAGCATGGTTCAGTCGCTTCACTTCTGCCGTTCAGGCGTTTGGCTTAATCCGCAGTAAAGTTGATCATTCTGTATTTTATAGGATTACATCTCCTGACAAGTGCATCTATTTGTTAGTCTATGTTGACGACATCATTCTCACCGGAAGTGTTCAAGACAGAATTCGTCAGTTAAAACAGCATTTATTCAGTGCATTTCAAACAAAGGACCTTGGGAAGCTGCGTTACTTCTTGGGAATTGAGGTGGCGCAATCTAGACAGGGCATTTCTATTTGTCAAAGGAAATATGCCTTGGATATCCTCGAAGAAACTGGTATGTTGGGGAGTAAACCAGTTGATACACCCATGGATCCTAATGTCAAGTTATTGCCCGGACAGGGGGAGCCGTTATCTGATCCTGGACGTTATCGGAGGCTAATTGGGAAGCTCAATTATCTTACTGTGACTAGGCCAGATATTTCTTTCGCTGTTACTACGGCTAGTCAGTTCCTTGATTCCCCTTGTGATTCACATTGGGATGCTGCTGTGAGGATCCTCCGATACATCAAAGGAGCACCAGGAAAATGTTTGTTGTATTCAGATCAGGGAAATACAGAAATTTGTGGTTATTCAGATGCTGATTGGGCAAGATCACCCTCGGACAGACGCTCTACTTCCGGCTATTGTGTCTTCTTTGGAGGAAACTTAATTTCGTGGAAGAGCAAGAAACAACCTGTAGTTGCTCGGTCTAGTGCAGAAGCTGAGTATCGTGCAATGGCAAATACTACCTGTGAGTTAATCTGGTTAAAGCAGTTGATTCAGGAGCTTCATCTTTGTGAACAGAAACAACCCATGACACTCATCTGTGATAATCAAGCTGCGCTACATATATCCTCTAATCCTGTCTTTCATGAGAGGACCAAACATATAGAGATTGATTGTCACTTCATTTTTAGAAAAGATTCAATCAGGAGAAATCAAGACTGCTTTCGTCAACTCCTCTGACCAACTAGCGGATGTCTTCACTAAAGCTCTTAGAGGTCCTCGGGTTCAATACATTTGTAACAAGCTTGGTGCTCACAATATATACGCACCAGCTTGAGGGGGAGTGTTAGAATATATTAGATATGATTAGTCTGATTAGATATGATTAGAGTCTGTAATTATTCTGATTGTATTAGGTCTGTAATTATTCTGATTGTATTAGGTCTGGACCTTTCATATAAGCCCATTAGAGTCTCTATATATTTTAACTCTCTTAGATCAATACACAACGTATTATTTTATATTTAAGTATATCTAACAATTTTCACCATAAACTTTATGGTGAGTGAGTATTACTTAGTATGTAGTAGCTCATCGTCTCATCTGTTCTTACAGTGGAAGCATACCTAACAACAATATTGGCAACAAATCATAGTGGCAAATACTGGTTCTTTGTTGCTTGAATCATTGATATCCTTCACTTCAGTCCTTTTGCTGTTCAAATTCAATCCTGTTTATGGATAAATTGAAGATATCTTGATGAGGTCGAGAGAGTGAAGTTCAATAATATATCTGCTATATCGAGGATCAAATTTTCAAATGAGGAAATAATTGGATAATACTCATCAGGTTGATATTCTAATAGAGGTATACTTAGTAACTGTCGTCATGAGGGGTATAGGAATTACTTATCTTTCAGCCAGCATATAGTATCAAAATGCTATAATCAAAGGAAAAGAGAGTCCTGTTTTATATAACTAGAAAAAAGATTTCAGTAATTACTTACAACTTTTCCTTCTAACTGTTGACTGTTGCATCATTTCTTTAAATAACTGTTTTTGTATCCATCTGATTGTGGTGGGTGTTTTTACGTGATTATCATATATTAAGAGTGATTATGTTTATAAAATAATAAATAAATATGTAGGTGACGTATAAACTGTGTAAGGGACTGATGGGGAAAAAGATGACAATTGAATGCATTGTCCCTGTCTTATTGGTTTTGCTTGGATTCCACCAGTACATTACTTAACTATTCTGCTGGATTGTTAAATTACTTCTCATCTTAATGTTTGATTACTATTCTTCTCAGGCATTTTATTGCCAGCGGGGAAAAGCATACCTCTTCAATAACGTGTGAGTATTTTTCAGTTAATGAATTACAGATCATGATACTGGTGTGTGGTAACATAACAGGCTTGTGGCTTATGTTATTTGGTCACACACCATAACAGGCTTGTGGCTTATGTTATTTGGTGTTTTGATATTGCTAGTTGAAAATTGCATTTAAACAAAATATGATACTATCATAAATCTGGAAAGTATAGTGGCCATGTTCGGCATAATTCAAAACTCTTTATGAAAAATGCATTCTGCATTTATTTGGAATCTCTTTGTGTATTTAATAGGAATTTAAGACTCAGGCATTTCAACCTATTGCACTAAATATAAGAATTAAATGCTAACATTTACAGAATGGAACTGTTGTTACTTGCTATTGTTTATAAATTTTTTTATTTGTATGTTAATTGATTTTTTGGTATAGATATTTATGTTAAAAAATGATTACTAACTAATAGGTACCAGAGAATCAAATAGAAAAAGAAAGATAAACTTTGATGTGTATTGATGTTAGTTCTGGAGAAACCAGAATTATAGTATGGTATGAAGTTGGAATATGAAAAGGAAATGAAAAACGATTACTGACAATTAGAGCAGTCAGTGGCTCCCCCAAATCAGAAAAAAGGTGCCTGTTATTACTCTCACATTTCCCTCCTCTCTACTCTTTTCCTCACTCCCTAATATATTCTTTTCCCACAACAGAGTTGCCCCTTTTCCCCCTAACTACCCTTCATTCCTTTGTGCATTTGTCCATGTCAGCTTCTGCATAGTCTGTCGTTCCCACCTGCTATTTAGATTCCCTTCGTGTGTTTATTCGGGACACAATAGATCTATCAGTACGTCCCCCTTTAAGTCTCACCTTGTTCTCAAGGTGAAATTCAGGAAACTGCAGCATAATGTCTTGCAAGTAGGTAATCCTGCCATTTTAAAAGCACTTCTAGGCGTCGAAATAGTTTCGGGACTGAGCTGTAGCTCCATATCTTCAGTCAAACAACTGGGTAATGGTTAGTGATGCACGAAAGGAAGGACCACTGAGCTTTTTGAGTTGTGATACGTGAAAAGTGGGATGATTTTGGTTCCTGTTGGCAAATCTATTTTATATGCTATTGGTCCCACACGTTCCATAATCATAGAAGGTCCATAAAACCTGGGTTGAACTTCCCATTAATTCTTTTGTCAAGTGTCTTGAATTTGTACCGCTGGAGCTTGAGGAACACTTCATCCCCCAATTTAAATTCCACTTCTCTCCTATGACTGTCAACTTGTTGCTTCATTCTATTTTGTGCTCAATAAATTAGACTTCAGCTCCTCTGAAGTGTGGTCACAGCCTTGAAGCTGTGAGGAAACTGAATTAAACTTGCATTCAGAGAATTGCCACCTGAATAAGGGAGGTGGAGGAGGCCTTATAGAGCCTGAAAATGAGTCATTCCAGCTGAAACTTTGATAGTTACTATTGTTCCAGAATTCTGCCCATGGTAGCCATTTAATCCACTCTTTGGGTTTGTGAGAGCAAAAACAGCGTAGGAAAGGTTCTACGATTCGATTGACTACATCTGTTTGCCCATCCGTTTAAGGATGATAGGCATTGCTAAAATGCAAGGAAGTCCCTGATAATTTGAAAATCTCCTTCCAAAAAATCTGTCTGAAATGATGCTTTTGGGATACCCATGCAGCCTTACAATTTCTCGACTAAAAGCCATAGCTACCTCCAAAGCTGAATATGGGTGTTGCAATGGTATGAAGTGACTGTATATGGTAAGACGGTCCACTACTACCATAATGGTGACTCCTCCCTTGGTCCTTGGAAGTCCTCCAATAAAACCTATATAGAGATGTCTCCCACACTTTATCAAGTATGGTAAGGGCTGTAACAACCCCTCAAGCTTTAAGGCTTGGTATGTGTTTCTCTGACACTCCTCAACTCTCAATAAACTTCATAATATCGTTTCTCATCCCCTCCCAGAATAGAATTGATGCAGTCCTTTTACAAGTTTGAAGAGAACCTGAAGGCCTCCAAATGGGTTGTTATGCAATTCAGCAATAATAGAATTAAGAAAAGATGACTTAGTTGAGATGACTAGCCTTCCTTTGTAAAAGAGTCCTTGCCTCAAACTGTAATGTGCATGAGATGTAGAGTCCTTAAGTAATTCCTGGATGATAGTACTTTATTTTGGGTCAGCCATTACCTTTTTAATTAGCTTCTCTCCACTGCCACATACTGCTGCTGGGAGGGCTAAGCATTGAGGGGTAGCTGTAGGTTTCTTGGACAACACACAAGTAGCTCGGTTTTCTCCTTCCGACTTCTATTAAATGTCAAGATTGTAGCTCAATAACTTCATGACTCATTTATGCTGGTCCAGATTGATTAAGCGTTGTTCTTACAGAAACTTCAAACTTTTCTGGTTTGTAAGTACTGTGAAATGCCTTCCTAGCAAGTAATGCCTCCACCTTTGAATAGCTAGGACCACTGCAATGAGATCCCTTTCATACACAGACTTTGATTGTGCCCTTGGTGATAAAGTTTGGCTCCAAAATGAAATGGGATGCCTTTCTTGCACGAGGACAACACCTAATCCTTTCCCAAAAGTGTTCTCAATAAGAAATTCCTTGGTAAAGTCTGGTGATGCTAAGGTAGACACTCTAATCATGGCTTCTTTGAGCAAGACAAAAGCTTTGGTGGCCTATTTAGTCCAGTGAAACACATCTTTCTTCAATAATTGAGCGAGTGGAGCTGCTATTTTTTCCGTAAACCTTCACAAACCTACGATAATTTCTTGTTAATTCGAGAAATCCCCTATGTTCATTCAAATCTTTGGGTTGTGGCTTGTCCAGCGTATCATGCACTTTGGTTGGATCTATGGATACCCCTTCAACTGAAAATATGTGTCCCAAGTACTCAATTTTAAGGACTGCAATGAGAACTTCTTTTGATTTACCACTAGTTTGTCCTTAGTCAATATAGAGAAGATTTTCTGTGAGTGCCCTAGATGCTCTTCCATACTTTTACTTAATATTATTATATCATCAAAAAATACAAGTAGAAATCTGTGCAAATAAGGCCTAAACATCTCATTCATTAAGGATTGAAAAGTAGTTGATGCGTTTGTTAAGCCAAATGACATAACTAAAAATTCATAATGGCCTTTATGTGTTCTAAAAGCGGTTTTCTCTATATCTTATGCTTAACGTTGATACGGTGAAACCTAGATTTCAAATCCAGGTTACTAAACACAACTGGTCCCTCCAATTCTTCTAAAAGTTCATGTATGGTTGTAATGGGAAGTTTATCTGGAATGGTTATCTTGTTCAAGGCGTGGTAATCCACGCAAACCGCCACCTTCCGTCCTTGTTCTGAACGAAAAGCACAAGAGATGCAAATGTGCTGATGTTGTTCCTAATGATTCCTGCACTCAGCATTTCTTAGACTAATCTCTCCATTTCCGTCTTTTGGGCATAGGGGGTACCTATATGGCTGAAGGTTGGGTAGTTATCCTCATTCTACAAATCTGATGGCATGATCATGTATTGTCTCAGGAGGCAAGTATTGTGGTTCTCTAAAACCCTTGCTTGTACAAACTTGTTGCGACTCATACTGACAACCTTCCTTCTTTATCGCGTGTCCTTTCTGCAGCCTCATCGAACGAGCATCCTTCTGGCCACCATCCGCAGCCACCACTGGTGACTTTTCCCACGTCTTCTAGCTAGAAGCACCGCGATAAGTTCGCCTGAGCTGGATTTGTCCATATTCAGATTTTTTCAATTGTGGGTCCTCTTCGTTCGGCATTTTTCGATGACTTCACCTCAACTTAGGTGTTTTTGATGTTTTCATGGTGTTTTATGCCCTTTCTTCATATTTGGTCTTGGTTTGTTGTGGGTCCAGGCCTTTTGAAATATTCCAGTGAACCACCATTGTTTAGCCCATTTTTTGTGCCTGTTTCTTGCTCCCCTTTAGTGTTTTTCAACCACATTTTGTGTGTTTTGCAGGTACAGGCTAATTTTTTTTGATTTCAGACTTTTGAAACTTTTTGGTGTTGTTGCACTCATCTTGAAAGTCCTAATGGGAGACCGCAATCTTGTCTTATGCAATAGTAATTATGGTAGTGGTAGCAACAGGCCTCGATGCTTTTTTTGTCCTAAATTTGGACATTTGGAGGCATGCTGAAGGGTGAAGTATGGGAAGCCTACCTCTGCTAATCCTACTCACAAGGAGCCAACATCCTCTGCCGTTACTGTGGCTATTATGAGTGTAGACTATGAAGCCTTTCTTTGGCGTAAGGCCTCCTTACGAACCAGTAATCCTATTGCTTGCATCTCTCAACCATCTCTTGAACCATAGATAATTGACTCTGGTGTTTCCAATCATCTCTGTTGTAATAAGGATCTTTGCATATCTCTTACCTAATCATATAATTTACTTTTAGTTACCCTTCCTGATGGTTCCAAGATAGTTGTTTGCTGCTCCTTTAATTTAGTATCTATTGGTCAACTCATTCGTTCTGTTATCTTTAATGCAAAATCTATTCTTATGCAAGATCAGGGTATAGGGAGGATGTTCGAAGTTGGTAGTGAGTCATGCGGTATTTACCATCTTATTGTGTCTAGTTGTCATGTGGCATGTACGATGACAAATTCTCTTGACCTCATTCACAACTACCTTGGACATCCAAGTCCATCCAAACTTCACAAGATGTCGTCTCGTTTGTCTCGTTTATAGTCTTTGGATTGTGAGTCTTTCCAATAAGGGAATCTCAATTTCTCAATTCCTAGAAGAAAACAAAAGCTATTTTGAAATGATCATGTTGGATGTATTAAAATTTATAACACAATATCTATGTGCTAATAAGGACTTGGGCATCTGACAAAACTAATCATGAACTACGTAGTTCAACTTCATATATAACCCTCTTTTCTATAGAAAGTATTGGTTTGACATTTCGTTTCCTCACCAACTTATTGTTTGCATATCATTGTCAATAATAAACAGGAACTAGATTTATGCCCTCTTTTGTTCCAACGTAGATGAAATGTCTCTAGATCTGAATATTCCTATTCTCACGTGTATGCTTATGTTTTGTGCCCATGATGCAGTGTGAACTTCACCATTGGAGCTCTAGAGGACAGACTGATGCTTTCGGGACTGCATACCGTGGCAGATATTTTTTGCTGTCGCTGTGGTCAAATAATTGGCTGGAAATATGTAAACTCCCCTTATATAGTCTCATTTTCAAATATTGCATATCTCGAAATGAGTGTTGTAGGTGAAATCTCTTAGAAGTTAGAATGTCTATTCTGCATCAAGTGACTAGAAATTTATTTATGTATCTACCCTCATTCTTTAGTCCCAGCCATCTATCATATTTCATTATTACTTATGGTCCCTTTAAAATTGTATTTCTCTCTCCCAGGAGTATGCGCATGAGAAGAGCCAAAAGTATAAAGAGGGGAAGTTTGTCCTTGAAAGGTATTATTCTATTATGTCGTCACAATTTGAGTTCTACTTTATCCTCCATAATGTGTTTATACTTTATACTGATTCTGCATCTCGTGCTTGCTCATATAACAGGGGAAGGATTGTTGAGGAAACTGATATCTCCACTGAATTCTATATTGACGGCTGTGTCAGCATTAGTGATGCTGAAGATGCTTCAGTATATTAAAATTTTATGTACTTTTGTTCGGATCAGGTGAAATAATGCACTGCTTTTTTTTTTTTTTTTATGTGATAAAAATAAGGTATAACCGTGAAAATGTTAAAATCAAAGTAAGTTTATTGTACTGTTTCCTTATTGTAGTAGTAACAAAAAAAAATAAAATAGTTTGTTTTACTATTTCTTTATAGTAGTAGCAGAATCAAAGTAAGTTTGTTACATAAAACAAGTTCTCTACCTAAATCCCTATCCATCAAGCGACCTAGAACAAGCTCGCTATATTTAACCCAACAGAAGCATTGAGTTGAGAAAGATAAAAAGTAATAGTCACACAAACTTGGATTATTTAACCTGGGTTGTCTGTCTTCACAATGAACAAAAACTCTTTCATACTAATTATGCAATTGCTACCAAACGTTAGGATTGATAAGACAATTCTGGATCAAACCCCCTAAACCAATACATGGATATAAACAGTTTTGGGCTTTAAAATCACCATTAACCAAGAGAAAGATCTAGCCTGGCATAGTATTGGAAGTCATGAATGCAATCAACATGAACATAATAAAAAGAGACTAAAGAGATTGAAAGATAGAACAATAATGATGAGTTCTCTTGATTTCTCCTTGTTCTTCCACTTGTCTTGTCTTCAAGGTTTCAAATTTTCAATCTCTATGAGTCTTCTTCTCTTTGTGAGCTTTATTCTCTAATGAATCCCCCAAGATTAATCTTTAAGATGACTCCCAACTTTTCCTTTTATAGTTATATATGCTCTTTAGAGTTCTCAAGGGTTTTAAGTCTTCTGTTTCCACTTTCCATCAAGAGTGCAAGTCCACCGGGGTTTCACGTCGAGTAGTTAAAATCGAGTTTTTACATAAAAACAGAAGGGGAATAAAAAATCGCAAAACATAAAATCGTAAAAGCTCTTAGAATGTTGATGAAAAAAAAAAATCGTAAAAATATAAAAACACAGTTTTAAAACTATAATTTTTAACTACCATGTTCTTATGTGTCTTGAATACAAAAGGATCAAAATATTCAATTTTAATGAGTTACACGTCCTCAAGGAAAGAGTGAGTGACTGTGTTCGAGGAATCCGAGAGCTTGGTCTTAGTCTCTCCCAGACCAACTATTTTCACTCATAATAATCTCTTTCCTCATGTTTTTCTTTATACCTTAGCTACTGACTATTTAGAGTAATATTCTCCAAACTAACAATATGAATTAATATCTAGTAAGTCTATTTATTATATCTAACAATATGAATTAATATCAGGTAACTCTATCTAGTCCATTTAATAACAACAATTAATATCAGTCACTGTATCTAATGTTTCCAATAATATCAATTAATTCTAACTACTATTACTAATAGGTCTGGCCCAACTAGATCATTGGCCCAATTCTTATTTGTTCTTATATTCACCTTTTCGCATGCAAAATTACTTTGTCTAAATGATGGATTTTTATGTCTTGGGCTGTACATGAATGGTGTAGCTGCGTGTCTTAGGGTGTGTTTGATTGTATTTTGATTTTTTTGTTCTTAAAACTGTTTTGTAAAATAGTTTTTAAGAATTGATTTTCAGAATAAAAGAATAAAAAAATCTGTTTGGTAAATTTGTTTTGAAATGAATTTTAAAAGTTAAAAAACAAAAAAATCTGTTTGGTAAATTTTTTTTAAGAACATGTTTTTAAAACAAAAAAATACAAAAACTCATTTGATTGTTAACTTTTATTTTTTTAACTTACTTTAATAATTTCTTTAATTATATGTAAAAACCTTAGGAGCCAAGATGATTTTTTTTGAAGATTCTGGGACAAGCTATCGATGGAGGTGGAAGAGGGTTCATAGAAATTTTTTTTTTCTGGATTTAAAAGATCTGCAACATCCATTCCATTCCTTTCAATTCTGAGATTTTGATTTTTCATTTTTTTTTGTGTTGAGAAAATGACTAGTTTGAGAGGAAGCACCTTGAACTTTTATTCGCTTCTGAAACTGAAAATGGCAGCGACGCAAGCAGAGATGCAGATCCCACCAGAGCAAGGTTTCACCATGTTTCGCTCTCATTATTTCACCAATCTTCACAACCCTGAGTTTCATTTAGCTTTTCATCTACTCTAATCAAATCTACTTTTGCTGGGATTTTTAATATTAACTTATTTACAGTTTTGTCATTAATGAAAACAAACAGTTCTCTGTGTTTTTCTTATTTTGAAAACAGAGAATTAAAAAACAAAACCAAAACACCTAATAGATGTTCTCTAATTCATGTTTTAAAAACTAAAGAAGAGATGATGTTTTTAGAACTATTTTTCAGAACACCCATTACCAAACAAGCTTTTATTTTTTATTTTTTTTGTTTTTAAAAACAAAAAACTGTTTTACAAAATAGTTATCAAACAGGCCCTTAGATTTTCGTAGCCCATGGAATAACTCAATTCCAACCTTTATATATAAAGATATGTGCTATTTAGTGAACAAGGTAAAAATACTGCGAGTCTACTGCTGATTTGACTCATATTCGACTTTGTTAAAATCTTTCATCCGAGGAACACTGACCATTTTGCCATTGTTCCCATTCTTTATTATCTAAATGCCACGTCTACAAACTTTTTTCCAAACTGCCACGAGGGCAAGTTCGCTGGGCAAAGTAGCGAACTGTGTTTGCTGATGTGTCAGCTTACTGGTGGTGCACAAGTTCGCTACCTGATGTAGCGAACTTGTGCAATTAATACTCTTGCATGTTTTTACCTGCCCAGCCACGTGGCAGACATGCAGTGAAGTTCGCTGGACAGGCAGGCGAACTCTGCATAACAGCTACAATGACACTTGGCAGACATGCACCAAGTTTGCGGGGGTGGGCAGCAAACTTGGTGCAACGGATACATTTCCCACCCCTATATTAACCCCTCGTCCCCATCTCCTCTCTCCCTCTCAATCCCTCTCACTTTATCTCTTTAATATTTTCTCTTCGTCTCTCATTGTCTTTCTTTCTCTACATTTAAGGTTAGTATTTTATGAAATTATTTTTTTATAGCTTTATGTATTGTATTTAAATGTTGTTAATAAATATTATTAGCATGAAACCTTAGGTTAGATGACACAATTGTGACAATAGGATAGAATTGTTTCTTATAAATGTATGATTTAATATTATTGTTGTTAGGTTTTTATATTTATATTAATGTATTAATTAATAATATTAGGCATTAGTTTATAAAAAATTTATATTAATGTTGTTATATTAAGTAATTAATAATTTATAATTAGGCATTAGTTTATAAAATATTGTTTGTTAGTGTTGTTAAATTTAGTAATTATAATTTATCCTTAGGCATTAGTTTATAAAATATTGTTTGTTAATGTTGTTAAAATTAGTGATTAATAATTTATAATTAGGTATTTGTTTATAAAATATTAATATTAATATTGTTAAATTTAATAATTAATAATTTATAATTAGGCATTAGTGTATAGGTTGAAATGCAGTTTAGAAAATTTTTATTTTAATGTTGATAATTGTATTTAATAATTTTTTGATTATGCAATATTTAATAAAATTAAATTAAAAAACATTATTAAGTTATATGGTTGCAAAATAGGTTAGATGGTTTTGTAGATTAATGTTGTTAAATTTTGGTATTTAACATTTTTTATTATGCAATTCTTAATAATAGTAAATTAAATGATATTATGTAGTTATATAATATTAGTTATATTTATTTATAAGTTGAAAATATAGTGTTAATATTAATTGTGTGGTATTATTTAATGATTACCCATTGTTATACAATATTATTTGTGAATGTGAATTAATTAGGGGTAGAAAACTTAGGTTAGAAGAATTAGTAATTGTATCATATTATGATTTTAATAACATTAAATGTGTGGTATTATTAATGCATTATTTAATATAAATTAATTAACATTTAATTATATTAATTTTTCTATGTATATTAATGTTGTAATTTTTTATTAATTAATGTTAATTTATTTATGAATTATAGAATATTGTCCACATGCTTGATATTGAATTATTTCTTAGTAATTAATATTTAGTTTTTATATATTACACTTTTCTAATTGTAATATAATTGTTTTTGTAAATAGATCGATGGACCAGCACGACCCGCATCAGACTTTCATCGATCCGGGTCCACCTGACCGTTCTCTCCTTGTGTTGCAGGAGAAACACATTTCCACTCATGTGTGGAACACATCAGATGACTCCTCGGTATATGATCGTGTCCGTAATGTTAGGCACGCTGCAACACACGATCACATTGATATATCGGAGGATATCGAGCCGTACCTTTTGCAGGCTGGATTTTATCATGTTGCGCGTCTGCGCAACCACGAGGTTAGTGTATTATTATTGTACAAGCTGCATTTAAATTGTTGGATGTTTTATAAATTTGAATTAATTATTACTGTTTCGTAAATAGATTGATCACTCGCTGATATCGGCCCTGGTTGAGAGATGGCGGCCTGAGACTCGTACATTTCACATGCCGATGGGTGAGGTGATAGTCACCTTGGAGGATGTTCACCATTTGCTTGGGAGGTAGTCTGTGGCCACGCTGGAGGCCATCCTTTCCAGTAGATGATTACTGATTTCTTGGGAGTTCAGCCCCGGCGCAACGAGATTTTCATAAGAACCAGTTGTCGCTGACATTTCTTCGTGAGAGATTTCCGCATTACGCAGACCATGCCGGCAATGAGGTTGATCGGATGAGATACACACGTGCCTTGATCCTGCGCATATTGGGGGGGATGTTATTCGTTGAGACTGCATCCAGCTCCGTCCTGACCTGATATTTATTATTCCTCGACAATTTCCAGCGGACGGGGACATATTCTTGGGGTTCTGCCGTACTTGCGACCTTATACAGGGAGTTGTGCAAGGTCACAAAGCCCAGACGGTCAGATATGGGAGGATGTGCTTTATTGCTGCAGTTGTGGGCATGGACGCGCTTCCCTACCATCTCACCTGGTCTCCCTGAGGTCACTGACCCTGACGCTATATATGGAGCCAGGTAATTGTTTAAATGCATTATCATGTTTTTATTCCGACCTAGATATTGTGACCATTATATAAATTGGTAATCTTGTTTACGCAATTTTTTTGCAGGT